CATCAAGTTTTGGCATTATAAATTTTTTTAAAGAAATGTATATAAAGATGAATGAAGAGAATTGAATCACTTCCTGTAAAGAGATAAATGTGAATTCAATTCTATATCTAAAAGAACAAAATGATTGTTTTCCTTTCTAACAAAATTTCAATCAAAGGCCTGAGCTTTCTTCAAAAAAATCAGGTCTTTTACTTAAAAATAGAGCTTTTCTAAAAGAAACAGAGCATCTAACCTTAAATTTTCACAAAACTCGTGGATATTGCACTTTAGACCATGATTCTTCAATGATTACAAGCAACAAATGTCTTCTTCCTCTTTATTCTTCAAACACCAAATCATATCTCAACCACTATATCATAATCCTATTAAACGAGAGTTATGAGGGAAGAGAGAAAGAATACAAATGGAGGTGAGAGAATATGAGAGAACAATAAAGAAGAGAAGCAATTGAGTTTTTTTTATCTAGGGTTTAAGGGAGTAATGACGCCCTTTTTCTCTCTCCCTCTCGCCTACATCGATTGAGAAAAACCGCAAAGAAGACCGCTGGAAGAGAAGAGAGATATGTGAGGGCTATTTTGGGAAGTCTATGTTTGTGGGGCTCAAAATAACCATATACAATGGGAAATGTGTTTAAAAGTAAATGAGTGCGGGCATTTTTGGTTTATAGGCCTAGATAGAACTTAATGGGTTTTTTGATAAGTAAGGGTCAAGTTCTAGGTCTGAAAGCAAAAACCCCTTTAACTTTGATATGCCAAAGGTTTTTCTCAAAAAGATACGGAAAGTTAAACAAAAGATGACTATGATATCCCCATAGTTGATGTAGTCGAACGAGGCTATAAAAAGAGTGTTTGACAAAAGGGCTGTTTGGTTCGTTTCCTAGATATAGGGAAATGCATTTCCATGTACAAAAACACAAGTTTTGAGTTTTCCAAACTTTTCCAAGAAATGGATTGTTTCGTTTTGGTTCGCACAAAAAAAATGATGGGAAACCAATGTATTTATTTTTCTTGTGTTTAGTTTGCATGGAAAAAAGGGAAAACTTTTGTTGATATTACATTTCTCACTTTTCTTGTGTTTGGTTGGTTTTGATGTTTGTAGTGAAAAGTGTTTATGGTCACCATGGTAAGATTACCCCCACTATATTATACAACATTTGTGCTCGTTATGTGATGTAATCTTAATTGTATAAAAGTTCGACTGTAACATGAACAAATAATAATATCTCAAATAAATTATAATTTTACTTGTAATATACATGTTTCAGATTTAAAAAATCACACGAATCATGTAATAACCTGATTATTCATAAATTTATGTAGTTAAGTTGCATGAATTATCCAAAAAAACTGTTGAAACCTATAAAAACATATAAATAACCTGAATAGCCAAGCATAAGTATATAACCTAGCAAATCGCACAAAACCATGATTGAAAATTATTCCACAACACAAAACCCAGCTCCGTAAAGATCAGAACTGCACGAATAGAACTATGAAAACTTATAATTTATGTACTGTTACAATCCTTTATATGAGATTTTATCTGCATACAAAGCTTCAAAATTAGCTACAGACTACTGATACAACACCGAGCAGAAAAAAACCAAGAGAAACAACATATGCATACCAAACTGAACACAATTAGATTGTAATGGTCACAAAGCCAAACATAGCTGCCAAACTGATTATGGCTGAAGACTCAGAATTTTGGTCAATATCATCATTGTTAGCCATCCAGTATAATATCAAGAGATATTGCAGGTTGCTAATCTCAGATAAATTGGAAATCATCATAGCCTAATTTGAGCACCCGTAAACAATATCAAAATACTAGCATCAACATCAGCCAACAACACCACCAGCCAACAAGCAGGCTTACAACATTAAGTACCCAACAGACAACACCAACAGGCAACAACGTGCCCAGCCAACACCACCAACGGGCATCAACACCATCAGGCAACATGCATGAAGACCATCAACAGGCATGAGGCAACAACATCAAGACCACCAACAGGCATCAACAACAACACCATCAGGCAACATGCATCAAGACCACCAATAGGCATGAGGCAACAACATCAAGACCACGAACATGCATCAACACCAAAACCACCAACGGGCATCAACACCAACACCATCAGGCAACATGCATCAAGACCACCAACAGGCATGAGGCAACAACATCAAGTACCCAACAGGCAACAACACCAAAAGGCAACAACATGAACAAGTACCTAGCCAACAACAGTAACATGCAACAATAATGCATCAAGACCACCAACAGGCATGAGGCAACAACATCAAGACCACGAACAGGCATCAACACTAACACCACCAACGGGCATCAATACCAACACCATCAGGCAACATGCATCAAGACCACCAACAGGCATGAGGCAACAACATCAAGTACCCAACAGGCAATAACACCAAAAGGCAACAACAAGAACAAGTACCCAGCCAACAACAGTAACAGGCAACAACAACCCAGCCAACGCCACCAACAAGCATCAACACCACCAACATGCATCAGGCAACAACACCAACACCAACACCAAATTTAAAGATTATAGGAGTGAAAATCTGATAGTGAAGGGTATTAAGAATTTAAGAGGCTTTCCCACATACCATACGTCTGCAGCTTATTGAGGACTATATATATTTCTAGAATTTTACTTTCCTAATTCACATGTATCTATGTTCTTTTATATTTTGTCTTGCCATACATATAGTCCTTCAATTTTATACAAAACGTATATAGCCACGTGCCCTCTTAACTAGTCATAAATAAAACATTATGAACCTATTAATTTGGAAGCAATTACTCAACTATATCTTAATGTCTTTGACAGATTTTGAAAAATTTCTTCCTGTAAGATATCCATGTGCCATGGGCTTGTCTGTATGCAGTATATTTCTTCAGTAAAACAACCATCTACCCATTTAAAACATTTAGTGAAAGTTGATTATAATTGTAATGAAGTGAAGCTTCTATTAAAATACCCGATAAAACAAGTTACGACCATTCCACAACAACATCAATAACCAATGAACAACCAGCCAACAATCAGCAGGTGGCTACTGATTATTGCTGAGGGCTCAAAATTTTGTCAATATCATCATTGTTAGCCATCCAATACAATATCAATAGATATTGCAGGTTGCTAATCTCAGATATTATGACAATCATCATCGCCTAAAATATAAATATTAACCAATGTAAACTCGTTTCATGAAAACTTACTTTATAAAGAGCTATAGTTGGAAAAAAAAGTGAATAAATGATGAATGACAAAAGGTAGCAAATCAAAAAAAAAAAATCATTAGAATGTGCTAATGTTTAGAGAAACTTTATAAGAAGTTAGAAATATTCGCATGATAACAATAGTTTTGTTTAGAGAAACATTACAATTTAGTCGAAAACTCATATTGGGTATTAGCATAAACTAATTTTAAAAACTAATTCTAAATTAACAAACGTTAAACCTGAATAACCATTATTGGGACAATACTTATTCTAAAATTACAAGTTTATAGGAAATTTCAGTCATAAATTATCAAAGCGAACCATTACTCATATTTTCTAAAAACATCAATCAGAACTTCTTTAACTAGTAATGCTTCAACCAACAAGAAGTAAAATTAAACTATTTATCAGTCATAAAAGGTGAATTTCACAAACAAACCAACGTGTTTCGATCTCAAAATCGACAACCATAAAGTAATTTTCAACCCCTCTGTGTGTGAAAAATCCTACAACCAAAAAATAATTTTTCTCAAAATCAACCTTTTAACGTGTTCAGATCTGTTTAAACAATTTCCACACAAAACCAACTTTTTACCAGATCTACAATAGGCATAAAATAATATTTCTAAAAATCAAAAATTCTACTCCGGGCAGATAAATTTTTTACCAGATCTCAAATTTGGCGTAAACTACTTCTTATCAATCATTAACCCTAATCTCAGATCTGAATAGACAATTTTTACCCTAATCTCAGATCTGAATAGAGACCGAAGAACAAATTAAACTAATAATCCGAATAGGGCACCAATTTCTTTGCTAAATTGATCTAAATTAAACTAATAATCCCAAAAATAAAAAAGATAGACAATTTTTACCTTCGTTTTGGAAGCAACAGTGTTGACAAAGATCAGATCTGATAAATTAGTGGCACAAGATCAAAACCCACTCCCCCAATTTCTTCGATTACAGGGGCAAAGAAGAGAGCGGGAGTTTATGGCGGGAGGAGAGAGGTAACTATTAGAGGCTGAAGGAAATCAACGACGAAGCCAGAAATCCGACATGGTAACGTTTTCGTCGATTTCACTCGGATGGGGAGGGAATCGGGAACAAAGAAAAAAAACTGATGTGCCGGCGATTTGCGGCTTCGTTCCCTGAATAGCCCTAAAGAAACAACGCTGGGAAAGAAAAAGCGAGGAAACGAAAAATCTGAGGTGGAAGGGAAAAAAGTAACGTGGAGGGGTTTTTATTAGTTTTCCACGGGCCTTAATTGCGAACCAAACATCCCCTATAGTATACTTGAAAGAGACTATAAAAAGCAGCTTTGGCAACTTGAGAACTACATCAAAGTTAAATTTTGTTGAAACATTAGAGTATTTATTTGGCTAAATATCATAAAATCCCCCCTTAACTTTGGATGACTATTAGAAAACCCCCTTAACTTCGAAAATATCACAAAACCCCCTTAAATTTAAGGGTTATCAGAAACCCCCTTAACTTTGAGATTTTATCAGAAAACCGCCTAACTTAGGGTTTTTTATAAAATCTAAAAGATAAAAGGGTTTTTTTAAATAATATGAAACTGAAAGGGGGTTTTGTGATAATCCTGATACTTATCTGGGATTTTTCTGATATTGTGAAAGTCAAGGAGGTTATTTCGTTAATTGTCCAAAGTTAAGGGGGTTTTCTGGTATTTAGCCTATTTATTTATACCCTAACCGGTTCATTCCCATAATCAAGCCCGGTCCATTTCATTCCCCGATCGAATAAAAACCTCACTTTTCTTCACCAGCCAAAAATAAAACAACCTATCATCGGAGAAAAAAATGGCGGCAGATGGCGATCGAAACCGTAGATTCTTCATCGCAGTTCACGTCGGCGCCGGATTCCACTCCCCTTCGAACGAGAAGGCCTACCGGAGAGCGATCAAGAAGTCTTGCCTCGCTGCCGCTTCCGTTCTTCGAGAGGTCTCCAAATCTTCACCCTTCTCATTTTTCTCCTTTCTAGAGTTTGTTCAGAGTTTTGTGCGTAGTATTTGAATTTCAATGGATTCTGATTGAATCCAAGAGCAAGAAACTAGAGAATCACAGTCTTTCACAATCTAGGGTTTGTACACTGCATCAGTAACCGGTAAAAGTTCTCGATATTGAGCTCAACACTCTTATTAGATTTTTAACCGAACTGGACTTAAATGAGAGACTAACAAGTGGCTGTATAATTTGGTGCAAATTGCAATGAACTAAAGGCTTGGACACAGAATATTATAACGTCCACAAGTTTAGATAACCAATTTCATATTTGGATTTGCACTTTAAGTATTCAGTGCCTTCACAGTTTGCATATGCCTTTGTGGCTGGATACTGTTGATGGGTTAATTTCACATAACCCCCTGAAGTTTGTGGTGTCTCACAAATCCACCCCCTCCCCATGAACATATAAGTTTTCTAACTGACACCCCTTGCATGTGATTGCAAATAACTAAAGTTTCATTGTGAGAAAATACCTAAAATTTTGGGCTTGTTGTAGTCACCAATTGATGGAAAATGATCAAATTTGGGATTTTTCCTCTCAAGGAAATTTTCGTTATTTGCAAATTACAGGTGGGTCCAGCGAGAAAAGGAAAAAGTTCAGGGGGTTATGTGAAATTAACTCTACATTTACATGCTTTCTCCACTTAGTACTACTACTAAGCTCTTTTTTAGAACATCCAACTAACCATTTATAAAATTTTCTTTCAGCTATTTCATACTTAATTGACTATAGTTGATCTATTATGCCCTTTATGGGTTCTTGATGTTGAGAAAAGGAAAAAAAAATTCAGGGGGTTATGTGAAATTAACTCTACATTTACAGGCTTTCTCGACTTAGCACTACTACTAAGCTCTTTTTAGAACATCCAACTAGCCATTCATAAACTTTTCTTTCAGCTATTTCATACTTAATTGACAATTGTTGATTTGTTATGCTCTTCATGGGTTCTTGATGTTAATTGATGAAAAGCGTTGGATTCTACGAGCATCAATCTTTTTCAATGCATATATCATGCAAATACAATGGATTTTCCACGTATTCATGCAATACATTGGCTTTGCTACGTATTTATGCAATTCATTGGATTTCCCAAGTAGCAAACCATCAATGCTTTGCAATGCCAATTATGAATATGCTAATATTGATTTCCAAATGCTTAGATCATATTCTAATGGAATCACGCACTCATCATAAATTGCATGTGCAATTTCCTTGTATCATTGTATGCAGATTACTGATAAATGTTTTAACTTATTTTTAGGATGATGGTACATGTGTAGATGCTGTTTCAGCTGCCATTCAAGTTCTAGAGGTGGGTATATTGTTCCATATCTGATTTTCTTCTGTAGCATCTTGCTTCCAACTCATCCTGTCTGAGTGTTTGCGTTATAAAGAGTGACTAGGTTTCTTTTTTATGTGATCTTTTAAATTATTTGCTCTCTACTATTGAATGGTTAGTGCCATCTGGGAATGGAAGCAGCAGCTTCTAGAGCTTCTGATGCAATTATGTGAAGAAAAATAGCCTAGCATGCTCTTTACATTATGCTATAGTCAGTACATGATAGCATTATTTCATTATTTGCAATGTTTATTAAGTTTATTCCCTCTTTTTATGTCCCGACGCCGGGATGGGTGTTATCTTTTGTGTTATCTGGAATTTTTTTTACCATAAGGAATATTTTATGAGATGAATCTCACAACAATGAGTCACTACATGCTGCAGTGTGTTTTCTCTGTATTTATGGTCTCACGACATTAGCCTCACAAGGAATTAAGAAGAGTGTTGATTTAACAAAAGTGATGTAAACATTTTTTAGATAACTGATAGGGTACAATATTTGTTCGGAAAAAGGGAGAAATGATCATATTTTGTATGTTTTAAAATCAGATGATTCAAAGTGCAGAAATGTCTCATTATTTACTGTTTCCACCACTAAGAATTTTCGCTGAGATGATCTTGCTAGAGGTGATTACTGCAGTTTACATTTTTCCATGTAGATACATTTCCTCAGCACAAGGAATTTTCTGTGTCATGCTAAACTTTTTCCCTTTCATTTCTTCTTAAATCTTTCAGTTAATATTGTAAATTTCGTTCCTATAGGATGATCCAGTTACAAATGCAGGTCGAGGTTCAAATCTGACAGAGGCAGGTCATGTAGAATGTGATGCAAGCATCATGGATGGTTGCTCTGGGGCATATGGGGCTGTTGGAGCAGTATCAGGTAACTTGTAAATGAAGTGTAATTTGCTGAATGTTTATCTCATCTGCTGATGGTTTATGTCATCACATAACTTGACATGTATGGGTCACATCTCCGATTTTATTTACACAATGAATGGGCTATAGCTGAGTTACTAATCGAACTTATATTATTGTAGATTAGGTGTACGGAATGCCATCAAAATTGCTACTTACATAGCCAAAGAGCAACTAAAGGGATCTTCTTTGCTTGGTCGAATACCTCCAATGTAATTGTTGGACCATCTTTATCTAAGAAGATAAAAAAATTTCTCATTGTACTGCTTTTATTTGTATATGTATATTCTTTCCTAATTTTTGTGTTTATTCTTCTTCTGTGACTTGTTATAAAAATGCACCTAACTGGAACACCCTTTAAAGATAGCATTTGCATTGTACGTGTCCATAATTTTAAAGAGAGGAAATATTGCTTATTCACTTGTCAAGTTTCTTGCGAGTAAATTGTGGATTAATGTGGTCATACTCATAGACTTGGAGAACTAGCGGGGGCATCTTTCTCTATATCACAACAAGAAGTATGTTGTTCATTGTTTTAGTATTGTATCCAATTTCTACCTCTCTAGATCCATACTATGATCTGCTTTGGTTTTAGTGGTTGCTGAAGTCAGATATTTGTTTTTCATAAATAGTATGAAAACTTGATTGGACTCAAACTGGACTGAGCAAACTCTTGGAATAAGAAACTTACCATGAATATTATACTTATACTAAAAACAATATTAAAAAAGTAGAGTACTTAAGCATGCAATTTAAGGCAAAGTTAAGACTGGGAAATGATGCTTTGTAGTGACAGGCATTTCTGAAAGTTGCAATTACGCTTTATGTCCAAATTAGTTTCATAAGCAATAAAACGACGACAATTTAATTTGAATTAAATAGTTCCTCTTGATGTTACTGGATCTTATGACATCTTGGAATTCAGTCCTATTAATAACATGACGTCCTCCATATCTATCATGTACAAGAATTATTTGGTCTGGTTGTAACACTACATTGTGTTCAATGGTTTAATATATTGGTGCCGAATTCATTGTACATTTGCATTGTAACTTGTAAGTTTTTCTTTTCGTTGTTAGCCTTGCTCTAAAGTATTCATATGCATCTCAGCTGTAGCTTATTGGATGACTGTTAGCTTTTGTTCTTTTCTCATTGGTGGTTCCTCAATTTATGTTCCTTTGTATATTTCACCTCTTGTTTAGGTTTTTGGTTGGTGAAGGTGCACGAAAATGGGGGAAATGCAAGGGTATAAATATGCCAGAAACTATTTCAGAGGTTGATGCGGTAACTTTCTCTTGTTTCTGCTTCATATTCTCCCAGTCCTTTAGTTTCTTATTCTACATCATACATCTGATTTATTAGACCACAAGAAAATTTTATATATTGGTTCTTCTATGATGTACTTGTCATGTATATCTTTATAGATATTTATGATTTTGAAAGCAGTGGCTGGTGACAGAGAGGGCTAAAACACAGTGGCTGAAATACAAATCCATGCTTGCTGATGCTAAGGAACAGAACAGTTCTTCTGCCATGGAATCTACAACCAATTCCACGAACATGAGATCTGCTGTAGCCAAAGGAGGTATCAGTTCAAGTTTTGCTAGCATTATCAGCTATGATTCCTAATGCAATATTTTTAGAATTATCTGCAAAACATTCTATGTTCTATGGACACATTAACCTTCAACTACATGCCATGCACAGAAGTGTTTTGTATAAATACTTGTCTGCATGAGCATATTATGATCCTTCTTTTGAATGCCATAAATTATAATTACTGATTATGGTATCAATTATCTAAACATCTGCAGAGAAGTAGGACACGTAGCTGTCTTCTCCTACAAGCTTTAGTATTGCAGGATCTTTAATTTCTTTCCTCAAGCATTTCCTATTAAAGTTCATCACGACTGTTCACATTTGATGTAAAAGGACATACAATGATAATAGATATTATTTGGAATAGCTGTAACATGGCAGAATATATGAATGTGTTCATGACATAAATGCAGTTTCATGATAAGAGTATAGCGCATATAGAACTTAGTGGACTATTAACAGTGATAGGGACTAGAGAAAGTACAAAATAATTGGCCCTTCTTTTAGGGATGTAGAAAATATAGAAGTTAGCACACCTTATCGTTTACATGATCTATTTAAATTATTCATACTATTGGTGCGTATTGCTACTTTGCTAGTTTATTTCTTTCCTTATTTTACTCTTGAACTTGAGGATTCATTCTTATATTGTGGAATGATTCTGCAATTTCTTTCTTTAGATGAAGCACAAATCAAATTATTTTATAAATGTATACCATATTCCTGAGATATAGTTTGATTGTACATCTTTAGCTTAGAAATATAAGGTTCTGTTGACCACTAATTGATTGATTAAAATAAAATAATGGGCTATTTGTTAATGATAACGAGAATAGAAATTTACTGAACGATAAGATCTCAATATGTTTGCAAGTTTCTTGGATTATTTTAGACATTATAAAAAGATTATCTTTCTCCTTCTATCTCTTCTTATATTGCTTAATTTTTACTATATCTATTTTTATTTTGTTTGCTGATCAAGTGTTTGACCCTTTTCTCTGCGGCTAAACACATATAGCCTGAGTGCGGTTTTCTATTCAGGCTTCAGACTTAAAACTAACAGCATTGATGCTGTTACATACAGATGTTACCACAAACCTAGCATGCTGTTTCAAAGAGAGAGAACACAACCTAGTTTTATTTTCTATTTCTAGACTTAACTTGATTAACAAACTCAAATATAAACATAATAGCAAAACTAAACTACATAATGGAGATAGATATTGGAGAAAGAATGAAAATTATTCCATAAACATATTTAATAAAAAGAGAATCTTATTCAGGCCGGCAGAAAGCTGTGACAACACTTTGACAAGCAACACAAGAAACTAGCAAAACTAGCAACAATCAGAAATTTTACAAAACTCCATTCTTTACAAACTTTCTTTTCTTTTTATTTTTCTAATACCTTACTAAGGATCCTAGACTCCATATATATATAGACGTTTTGCAGAAGATGCTTACTCAATGTAGAAGCATCTTGCTTTTTCTAAAATTACTTATAAAAAGTAGCTATTAGAAAAGTTACTTTTAAAAGTGGCTTTCTAAAAGTTGCTTTTTGAAAAGTAACTTTTTCAAAGGTTTCTGGAACATTAACAAACTCAATAGTTACCTCTTCAACCTGTCTATTTCTTTCTCGGGTCTTTATCTGCAGAATCGAACACTGGTCCCACAATGCTTCTAGTCTGTTTTCACTGTTTTCAGTGCAGTGTCTTGATCAAAGGGATTGTATTGGGGAACTAATTTTTCTGTGTTTATTATTAACTCATACTGCTCTTTAGCACGGCGAGCAATGAGTCCTAAAATCATAGTTTTTTTAAACTCTTCTTGCAGCTCTTTTTTTTAAATGTAAAATTGGAAGATAAAGAATAATATGGTCTTGAATTGTCATGTTTTTTATTATTATAATGAAGTCCTTAAAAAAATTTAATGGTTGCCAATTCTTTTTCATCTTCAAGATCATATTTATAGTTTCCTATTACCATTGATAAATATGTTATTAAACTCAAATTTCTTTCAAATTAGAAGAAATTTCCTATACCCAAAATCCTATTTATGTTTCGAATAGGGAAATGTTTTACCCTTACTCCCGCAGCACAATGTGGTGAATTAACCCCACCAACAAAAGTAATTAAGTAGCTCAATTATAACATACCAGTTGCCAATGATTTTAAAAAACCTATTCACACAATGTTATTACCATTATACAGTGAAGACCCATTGTTACATTTTGATAAAAGTCCTAGGTACTGTACAATCCACCTAAAGGATGAGTACAAGGGAAAAAATATTCGGGTTAACCCTATAGCGGCTAATCTTGAAGAAAGGAAAGTTTGAAATTCATATAGCAGAACTATTCTAACTCAATTTAATTAAAAAAAGGAATCAAACCACTTTTCTCCCTCCTTCTTGATAAGGAACCATGCTGAACAAAAAGAGGAAAATCAATGATGGTCATTATCTATAAAAAGGTTAATGAAGTCACCAAATTTGATGGATTCTTCATCCTTAACAGTGAATTGTTATTACATAGAATCCAAGACGCTAAATGGTTTAGTAAATTCGAATGTGAAATCAAGATTCAGCCAAATCAAAATAAAAGATGAAGAAAGCAAAAGGCTAATGACATTTAGTTGTCCTAATGGAGGACATTATAAATGGAACGTTATGTCATTTGGCCTAAAAAATGTTTCTCAAGTATTCCACAAATGGATGAATAGTATTTTGGGCATTTACTCTTCGTTGTTGTCTATATAGACGACATCTTAGTATTTTCAAAAATAAAAGAAGAATACAAAGAACACTTGATAGCGGTAGTATTACTAAAATTTCTGCTGATTTTCTTCTCAAACATGGCTAGTTCTTTAAAAAAAAGTCGGTCAAAGCCAAAGCATCTCTTCCACCTCAATTTGAGGTAAAGGAAAAAGGTATAGATGAAACCTTCCTAATATCTCAACTTACCCAAGTCATCAATAATCATCTTGATATAGACGATAATGAAAAAGATACTGAAATTATAGCCTGCTTCCTTACCAATCCAGAAGCGATGCTTACTGAAGGATATAATGAAGTAATGAGATAGATGTGTTTTATAATAAATCTTAAAGAACAGTCTCTAAGAAGAAAAATATACTCATCAATAGTTGAGTATATTAAAATAATTATTACACCTGACAATATTTATGATTGTCCTTATTGTATCAGGTGCGTTCAAACACGCCAAAGAACCTCATTCAAAAGGCTGCAACTGAAGGAGTATTTGTTATCGTAAAAGGTAAAAACAAATGAGAAATAGAAGATAAAATTCTTCAAAACAAGAAGCTCAATGCTCTGCAAGGACATTAGAAAAATCCTCTACAATTTAAAGATATTATAGTAGGAATTTGGTACAACACCAGTTTACCTGAAGAAGACTACATTACAATCAATAATCTCTAGAAGAAACTCTAAGAAATGAGGGTTTCCGCTCTAGACACCAATGCATGTCTTAGCACTAGAAAAATTTTGAAGGAAAAAATTCGCAAGATTCAAGACTTTGAGAATGATATCATAAATGCAGAAGTATGGTGGAAAATATTATCAGTCAATTAACCTAGATCATGTCAACGCCATCGATGACTCAAAAAGAACAAATTAAAATACTGTGGGATCAGGTTTAAGAGATTTAAGAACAATTCTTAAAGAAATTGAAATAAAAGATTTAGCAATAATAAAAATATAAGCTTTTATCGAACTAGTAACTACTTATAAGTTTGATATCTCTAAATATCAAACTCAAAGAACGTTGAAAGAAATATTCAATAGCTACCGGATAAACTTGATTGATGATCAGACAATTCTCTCTTTATTTGAAAAATTAAAATAAGTTCTTTATTCAAATCAACATCACAAGTCATAATAAATCAGTATGATCAGTCTCGGGTACTAGCTAGTTTCATGCTTATATCCATTCATAAAGAATATATCAAAAATGACCTAGTTCATAAATTATATCTTGATAAAACTAGACTAGAAGAATACAAATCCAAGCACTTGAAGAAACTAGAAAAATTTAAAGGGTTTTTGAGTTCACCATATGGTCCATACAGGAAGAACGAAATTTATTTAAATTTTATTCATCTTATTAAATTTGGAGAATAAATCCCTTAACAAGGGAACCACTCTTCAAAACATATTTCTTTTAATGAAGAAGAGTATGATCTTGAAGATGAAAAAGAATTTGCAGTCATTGAACTTTTTAAAGTACTTCATTATAATAATGGAAAAAATGATAATTCAAGATCATATTGTTCTTTATCTTCCAAATTTACGCTTCAAAGAAAAAGAGCTGTAAGAAGAGTTAGAAGAAACTATGATTTTAGGACTCATTGCTCGCCATGCTAAAGAGTAGTGTGAGTTAATAATAAGCACAGGAGAATGTACTTTCTCAGTACGATCTTTTGATCAAGACACTGTACTAGAAACAGACTAGAAGCATAGTGGAACCAGTTTGACTCTGCAGATAAAGGAGCACCGAAAAAGAAACAGACAGGTGAAAGAAATAACTACTGCGTTTAATAATATTTCTGGAATCGTTGGAAAAGCTACTTTTTAAAAAGTTACTTTTGGAAAGTTATTTTTCAGAAGTAACTTTTTTAAAAGCTACTTTTAAAAAGCAACTTTTAAAAAAGCAAGATACATTTACATTGAGTAAGCATCTCCTGTGAAACGCCTATATATATGGAGTCTAGGATCCTTTGTAAGGTATTAGGAAAATAGAAAGAGAAGATCCTTAGTAAAGTATTAGGATAATAGAAGGAGAGGAAAGTTTGTAAGGAAAGGAGTCTTGTAAAATTTCTAGTTGTTGCTAGTTTTGCTAGTTTCTTGTGTTGCTAGTCAAAGTGGTATCAAAGTCTTCTGTTGGCCTGAAGTCGTGTAATATAATCTTTATAAGTTTTTCTTTTCATTAAATATGTCAATGGAATAATTTACTTTCTTTCTTCAATC